ATTTTTCTCCCTCCGGAGGCTTCAGGGAAGCCTCCTGAAGGCTCTGGAGGGCAAAAAACAACCCAATGCACAAATCAGAAGGGTTTGAGTGCATGCCCTTTGAGCACATACCCGTTTTTCACTCCGGAGGGTAAAAAACAGCCCTACGGGCAACCCAAAAGTCTGTTCCCGAACTTATGGGTTGTCCGTAAGGCCGTTTTTCACCCTCCGGAGCCTTCATGAGGCCTCTGGGGCGGGGAGACCGTTTTCACTCTCCCTGTCCTCCATGTCCATTTTCGCCCTCCCTAGGAGCCTGTCCGGGAAAGCCTCTGGAGCCTGGGGAAGGTGAAAAATGGGTCCATCGCATGCCAAAAGTGGGGGAAGGGCAGGAGTCCCGCTCATATGCATGGGGGGGTCACACATGCATGCGCATGGAGGGTGTTGCGCACATAGAATTCTGGCTGTGGGCACGCCTGCGGACAACCCCCCCTAAACTCTCCCCGATTTTGGCACGTGATGGGGAAAAAGTAGCCATCACTGCCCTATAGTGTATAGTGCTTATTAGTCAAGACCTCATCTGGAAAAACAACACGTCCCTGGTGATTAGTGAAGCTCAACAGGGACTTCATTTCCTCAGAGTCCTGTGAAAGGATCAGGTGGAACAATGGGTGATTACCTCTTTCTACCGGTCTACAAGAGAACATATCCTTACATACTGTACAATTGTATGGTACGCTGGTTTAACAGATTTAATGAACCCACAGTCACAAATCAGAATTTGGAAAAGGCAAAGAACCTTGAGAGCATAAATAATATTGATGGACAGATCAGGATTTTGGTAGAAAGAAAGGGGAAAATGGAGGGTCAAATCACAAGCCCCCCAAAAGCCATTTGCTTTAAACAACTTGGAGACAAAGGAGAAAGCAGAGAAGTGACGAACCCATTCAAACACACACTTTGAATTTGGATTTTGGTTTCAAAAGACTGTCCCTTTGAAAGAGATTACAAGGGTGAAATGGAAACTAAAAACATACTGAAGAGATTTGCTTCCTTCGGGTTTCTTCTAACTAACATATCTTAAGCAACTCTAATTAATGACAAGTGGAATGTAACAAGGGGGGAAAATCAAGGAAAAAGGGAATTAGGATTCCACTACATCAAATGGCAGGCATTGTTCACTAGTCCCAAAGATTCTAAATGTTTTTCTCTAAATCCTGAGCCAAGCCAAGTTCAGACCTCGCCTAGCAAAGTTAACAAACACACCTCTGCCTTTTCAGTCTGCTTCCTCAGCAGCAAAAAGTGTTGACGGAGTCACCTTGTCCAGTTTAACATCAGAGAAGATAAAGAGCTTTACCTGGTCTAACTCCTTCAGAGGGAACCTCTTAATCAATTGAAGCAGGTTCCCAAGCAGGGGCAGCCTCCATGGCCCAGGGGGGAAACCTTTGGGACGCTGGTTCATCCAGAACCAGAGAAATAGGAGAGAAAGAACGATCAGCCAGCCGAAAGCAGTCATGTTGACAGGCAGGAACACTTTGTTCTATGTTGTTCTCCTAAACTTTAAAATCAAGATGAGAGTTGTTGCCAAGTTACATTTTGTACTTTGGCAAGCAGCAAATCAGCAAAAGGAACCTCAGGCAAAATAGGTTTTTGCATTACATACTTGTCTAAAATGTCAGAAAATATTTCATCTACGAATCTGGAGAAAGATGGCACCACAATTAAGTATACATTCAGTGTATAAGATGCACCCAAATTTTCACCCTCTTTTAGGGGAGGAAAGGGTGCATCTTATACTCCAAAAATACGGTAAGTTACACTTGTGAGATTCTATAGGAAGGCTTGACATCTACAATGTCAGAATACAAAGTTTTACCTTATTTGTTTTGAGCTCTGGCTGCGACTTTCAGGCTAGTTTGGAATATAGAATGTTTCATGCTACGATGCTTCATGTTCTAGAGTGTAATCAGCCAAAGAATAGATCAGTTGAAGCAATCATGACTTTAATCCAGCTTTGAGTTAATTACACAAAGGTTGCACAACAATCAAAGCCAAAACACAGTACAGACATGTCGTGGCCACACAATATCAGCTTTTTATCAAAGCACAGGTACAACTCATCTTACAACCGTTCATTACGTCATCGCTCAAAGTTACAACAGCATGGGAAAAAGTGACTTATGACCGTTTATCACACTTACGACCCTCACAACATCTCCATGGTCATGTGATCAAAACACAGATGCCTCATATTTATGATGGCTGTAGTGGCCTGGGGTCACATGATCCCCTTCTGCAAACTTCTGACAAGCAAAGTCAATGCCAGATTCACTTAACAACCATGTGACTAACTTAACGACTGCAGCGGTTCACTCAATCACTATGGCAAGAAAGGTGGTAAAATGGGGCTAAATTTACTTAACAAATGTCTCACATATCAACAGAAATGTTGGCCACGATTATGGTTGTAAATCGAGGACTACCTAGATAAGAATCTATCCTATCCATATATTTGTTTATGAGTTTAAATCCTGAGTCATTTTCCCCAGTTCTTTCCTCATAAAGGAGGATGGAAAACCTTTTCTTCCAGTTGGTCTCTTAAAGAATGTAAGAATCAACTTGGGAGACAAAACTACAGACTAGATACCTGAGAGATAAAAGACAGATTATAAGCCCAACTTTTAAGTGTGTGGAGACTCAGCTGTGGGAAAAGAACTCTTTTACCCAACAACTGACTACAAGAAGAGCTGAAGATTCTTGGAGAACATCAGTTCTCCTTTGATGCAAGGTAAAAGGATTAGAATCTGGTCTTGAGAAGGTGACAGAGGTGAATGGGTTAATGTCAGGGTACCATGCAACACCCCCAATGAAGGAAGACTCCGAGGCTTAAAGAAAATTATTATTTGTTGTTTATCGTATGGCCATTCACATTCATATTTTGATAAAAACCCATGAGATGAAAATTTGCATCATTATGAGATATAAAACCTAAAATATTATAAACGTAAAATTCACATCAGAATATAAAATATAGCAATAGCACTGACTAAATGACTAAACGGAACGCTGTAATCTTCCCACCAAAGCTGGTTCCCATTTTTACATGCTTTCAAACTGCTAGGTTGGCAGAAGATGGGACAAAGAAGGGGAGCTCACTCCGTTACGCGGCACTAAGGATTCGAACTGCCAACCTTTCTGATCGACACGCTCAGAGTCTTAGCTACTGAGCCACCGCGTCCCTCTCTGAGGCGGTATAGGCAGCCCATATGTGGGAGTAGTTTGAATCAAATCATGCAAGAAGAATTTTGACAGACCAGTTGTGCACACTGCCTTCAAACCTCAAAGGAGAGCAGAGAGTTGGAAAACTGAATTCATCATAACAAATAAGATTGTTACTCCCACTGGATGATTCTTGCATAAGGCAACACTTTATTTATGCTTCAAAAATGATCTTGCAGTGAATTTGAAGTAGATGTGGCCACCTGCTATTGGAGAGAATGAGATTGTCTTCAATCAGTTGTTTTGTAGGTCCTCTATGACTATAACTAAGCGTTTATTTATTTTATTTTATTTATTTTATTTATTTTATTTATTTTATTATTTATTTTATTTATTTTATTTATTTTATTTATTTTATTTATTTTATTTATTTTAGTTTATTTAGTTTATTTAGTTTATTTTATTTATTTCATTTATTTTATTTTATTTTATTTATTATTTTATTTATTTTATTTATTTTATTTATTTTATTTATTTTATTTATTTTAGT